ATGTAATCTAGTGTCTTGGCTGACTTTGCCAAGTGCCAATAAGTGGGATGACGAGGCATTTTTGTGGATAGTTTTTTTGAGTCATCACAAAACTTATATGGGTTGATCTTAGCTAGTTGAACTTGGCTCTTTCCTCTCAAAACTGTAGAACAACAAGATGGGCTGGCTGCACGACTTTTGCAAAACATCTAATTGTGATTTGATATTGAATTGTGATTCTGACCAACTGCAAAGTGGTTTTTGATGTTTAAAAAAACAGAACAAAGACCATAATAAACTTCCAGTTTCATTTGAAAAGGGGACGTATGAAGCGATTACTTTAAACTTTTCAGAAAATGTTTATAGATTTCTAACTTGTACTGCAACCTTTTTATCCTGATAGAAATGAAAAATAAGTAGATTCTTTATTTTACTTTCTTATGGTCAGATTTGACTTGTGAAACACATTTTGACAATTGAGGTTAACATAAATGATGAAGATGATGAGCTGTCTCATTTGGAATGAGAAGAGTCTGCCCTAACCCGAAGGCCAAAGATACAAGTGATCTTTTGTTTATCTTGACTTCCCTTTAAAGGATCTTTGCCAATTGAAACCACAAAAATGTCAGTTTTGTGTTGATTGCGATTAATTGCACAGCCATACAACAAGAGAGCACTGACAGTTGTTTACGTTTTTAAAAACAACTCTTTTCCTGTTTTTATAGGAGGAGGGACAAAATAGCTGACCGTGTGGAAACATCAATGAAGGTAAGTCCACACCATTGTCTTTCATGAACTTCCACTTTGGCCGATTCATTACCAGCCACAGACACACCTCTTCTGGCTCCGATTCAAGCAATACACTTATAAAGAAGTACTTTTAACTTATTTTTCTTCTTCATTGCATTTCTTTGATACTTTTGGGCTTAACCTTTTGGCACAAACCCGTAGATCCGATCTTGTGGCAAATCTGTCATCACAAGCTCGCTTCTGTGGGTCTTTGTCACTGTGGTGTGAACGTCGTAACTTTTTGTGCTTTTTTTAAAACACGTTTTTCTTTCATGTTTTCTTTGAGCCTTAACAATGAAACTTAATGTCCAAATCCGATGTTTCGCTGATGAGCAGGGACCACACACTAAAGCTCCTCAGAGTGTGCAGAGTGAGGTTGAAGCGTTGCTAGTGTGTGCATCCGGGTTGAGGTAGTAGGTTGTATGGTTTAGAATTACACCCTGGGAGTTAACTGTACAACCTTCTAGCTTTCCTTGGAGTACACTTATGACATCCAGGTCCTAGCAGAACAATCACTGACTGTTCCCAACGTTAAAAGCTTGTCGAATAAGTTTAGAAGGTCTTTTCACGGCATTATAGGCCTGTAGAACAAACAGGTCGGCGTCTCATTTCACGGCTGAAGTAATTCAAAGCTCAGCCACCGTCAGACTGCCTGCAGCAGGGTCGAACTTTTTATTTACTGGTGTTTGCACGTATCTTACAATAGATCACATGATGTTGAATAAGTCTTTATAGGTTGCATTCATGTGACACAAATCTCACACACATTTCCAAAGAACCTATACTTGATTGTGATGTACGGCAGCTGAAAAATCTTTCCGTGGAACTATGGTACCTGCCAGCCTTCTAGTTTAGAGCAAATGTATCTGTAATTTCAAGACATATCCCCACAAAAAGTTTCACATCTTCTTTGTCAGTACATATTAACTGTGGTCTAATTATTTTCTCATAAAGATGCCTAGAAGTGGAGACGATAATCAAAAACCTATGCATTATATTGTCTAATAGAAACAATTTAAAGGAAAGGAAAGGATAAATATCTAACCACTATCACCTTTCTTTCAAAAATAGCTTATTTTCTTTACAGTTGTATTGGCACCTGTCCTCCAAATGAAGTAGCTGACAATTTTACAACATGAATGCAACCTGATCACCTTTTCGTTAACACAAGGAAAAGATTCAATATCTGTTTTTGTTGTTTTTCATTTAAATGTGTGACAAAATCTATTGCGCATCACGTTGTTATCGCCCTATCTTACACATCAGCATGTTGACTCGCTGCAAGAGTGTTTAGACAAGCTCACATGGCAAACCCATTGCCAATTTTTGTGATTGTTTAGTAGGAACACATGTGTGAAATGAAAAATCACTATCAATCTTACACTTTTCCCTCCAAAGGCTGCTTGACTACCTCTGCTATGCTTTTAAATGGGAATGATTGAAGCGTGGATGCTAGTGTTTTAATGTGACCTTGTGTTTGATTAAATAAGAGCCTTGTAAAAGTTAAGTTATGTGAACAATTCAGACGACATTTTATCTTTTGCAAACCCTGAGTGTCACTATTTGATGCTTTGGGTTGAGAGCGGATAGGCTGAGCGAGGATGGTCCTGTCTTGGTCACTTTTCTGTCTGAAAAAGCGGTTCTCTTGATGTGACAAAATCTAGTGATATTGAACTAAACTATGTTAGTCTCAGGAAATAATTACATAGATTTTATTACATGTTAACCCTCGATTATTTGGTAGATCACAGTCAGTAGAGTCAATATATCGTACTTTAAGCATGCTTGGAACTTAAATATACCTCTTCGGGGAATCTCACTTGGTTTTAGGCACTTTTACCGTCAAACTGCATTCCAACCATTTGTCCTATAATAATAAAAATAAAAACGAAAACGTAAAAAGAAATTATTCATTTTAATAGAAAAAATTGCAATACTTTCTTCAAGGAGTGAATATTGAAGGGTTTATCATGTTGTGGTTTGAAAGTTAGGTACCCCAGCTTTAAGCGATATACCATGTGCGCTTTTATAATATAAGCCTCTGTGACACCGGAGTCGCTGTTTACTGTAGTCACGTCGATATGGCCGACTTCAACTCCATCTGTCCGTTTGTAAAATGAAACCAAATCAACACGACTGGATCAGCTCTGGATTTACGGCATGTTCTTTGAAAGGCGCTCCGAATTTGAAACGCAGCTTTAGTTGAAGCCGTTGTTTTAATTTTTCAAGTGCCTCTTTGTCAAAAGTGACAGTGTTTTGGTGGTAACGGATGACCTTGCTGTCGGCGTGCTCCAGCCTGGGCTAAGTGGACCACCTTTGTGCCGTTTGTTACATTTATCCCGTGAGAACTCTGGTTTCAAAGACTCGAGGCTGTCTATGGAGGATTAATCTCAAGCTGTAGATTACAATTAATGCATTTGGATAATTGATTAATTGGCCGAGTATTCTATTCGTTAGTTTTTCAGTTTTTGTTGTTGTCTATTTTGCACACTGGGTATTTTTGCACAAATACTCCAATGTTATTTTTAACTGCAAATCTGTTATTTTTGATACATTTGTGTAATATCCTGTATGATGACAGTATGAGGCATCAGAGTTCAGATCTACAACATTTCTGGTAAAATTGTTATTCAGTGGAGCGGAAAAAAGCTGAGGGGAGGTTTTTTTGTGTGGAATATGATCTTGGTAAATCCCAGGAAACCCAAAGTGCCACCTCACTGTAAGGCCTTGTTTCACTGCTGCAGATACCCAGTGTATTCTGTAGATGGTGACAGTGCTCACAGTTTAACACGGCGTGGGGATTCTGTGGTCATTCTGCAGCTCTGGCCACAAGCTGCAATACTGCAAAGGGGGAAAAGGCATCATAAATAATTGCCCATGCAATCTCCTGTTTTTGGGAATGTCTAAATATATATTAGATTATCTTGTAAATTTTTAGTCTTACATATCCATCTGTTTTTTGAAACTATACACTCAAGATACACGCAAGAAAAATAAAATCTCAATACACACTTTAGTAAGATGTTTAGATCTTTATGTACATAATTACAACTAAGTGCTTCTATCTGACCATCAGCACAATTCTGTTTGTAAGAATGATTTTAGACAACACTCAATAAAACACTCTCCCATCCATTTTATTAGGAGTTTAATTATTTATTTTATTTCAGGCCACCTATAACTTGAATAAAAATATAAATGAATAAATAAAGGAAATAAATACAAATAAAAAATATACACCACATGAGTTTAATAGAAATAAATAAAAGACAGAGCGACCACACAACTCATGCAGTGCAGTCTCATAAATGCGGGTCATAAGACAAGACTTCAAGCAAAGCTCAAAAATGGGGCGTCAGAGCCAAAACTGTGAAGAAAATAAACAAACGCTTTATTCTTGGCATGACTCTTACTCAGCCGAGATAGCCCTTGGCCTCTGAGGTCAGCGATGGGGTTGCACATGACATCACAACCACTGCTGACCTCCGTGACTCTTAAACAGTGTCCGGCCAGACGCTGCTTCACCCACAGACTTGTAAAACTGAACATTTGTACAAAGCCCAGTCGCCTGCAGCCCCATTTCCTCAGTAGAAAACATATTCCCCTAATGTGGTGGGGTTAATGGCAAATGAATAATCATAACACAGCGGTGGCAGACGGGAGTGTCATTGATCTGTCTGGAGTCAGCCTCTGTGTCTGCTGCATCAGCCACTCGCTTGTATTGATACGCTCTTACCCCTTGACCCCGAGACCGATCCATGATATCGATTGAAGAAGGGCAGGGACAAGGGCAGGATCTGCTGACTGGCCGACAGCTTGTGTGACAAGACATGATGGTCATTAATGTCCCGCTGACTGGCTGGCTGGTATTAGTCCCCTCCCCCTGCTCCCCCCTCCTCCTCCTTCAGCTTCTGCTTCCATTCTGACTCAGATAAGACCATTGTTTGGAGTATCTGTCTGGATATCTTTAGCCTACGAGGAGCTATTTTTGTCCTGTTCTGAAAAAGAAAACTCTAGAGGTGTTTTCCCCCCCCCCCAACGGTGTCCTGCATATTGTCTCCTGTCAAATATCTACCCGTTTAATAAGTGTGTTACGTATGTCTAAAGAATATTTGTAAGGAACTGAACAAGGTCTATGAAAAGCTAGGGACAAAACCGATGCCGTAGTTCAGTGCTGACCCATTGCACTGATTTTTCTCTCCTGTTTGTGGATGTTTGTGCGTTGAGTGGTGATGTGTGTATTCGCCGACAGCTCCAGACGCCGCAGTGACACGGCGGTAATACCAGTGATTGATCACCTCTACGGCCGCCTGCTGGCCCTGCTGGCTCTAGCACACAGTCCAAGTCCCACCCTCCCGTCTCTGCATCACCACTGAATCTATGAAGACCCCCCGCCCCCCATAGACTTCAACCTGGCCCCGCTTTTGACATTGGCTGTAGCGTTTACTTGGGCCTCATCAGTTTTATGCTCGCTTTGGTTCTGTATTCTGTTGGACTGAAGGCGACACACACCCAGAGTCAGTGACATTTTACGACTCAGGCTTTCCCCGTTAAAAGTGCATTTTCTATTTGAATTAAAGGGCATAATCAATCAATGATAACATTTGCAGTTCTCTCCCTGCCCCCACCATGTCACAGAGGGTCATAACCCTAATCTATCCTGGGTGTTGAAGGTGATTACGGCCCGAGATTAGAAAGGCTGTCAAGGGCAGACCTCATTCAGACCTAAGAAAAAGAAAACTCACCATTTCCAGTCCTGCAGACGGTAGACAATACGAAGCAGGAAAACACCATCCTCTTGCTTTGTGTGACTTACTGTTTAGTTTTGTTTGATTTGTCTTTTCTGTCGTGCATCTGCTGCTGTCTGCTGCTGTATGCTGCTACAAGCTTCAGTCACAATATTGTGACGCTAAGTGTTTGGTTCACATAGAGCTGACCACAGTGCTGACCGTGTGATAGTCTGAATGTGAGTCAACAGTGATAGCACAGAGGCTGTAATGTCTTACATTTTCCTGTGTCTTGCTTTTCAACCGTTTATTTTTTTTTACAACTAATGTTTCTTTATTTGATTACTGTTTTACACAGCAGTACTTCAAAATATAGTTGCAACAGTGTCATTCATGTCTTACCTTGTGTAAATATGGTGAGACTGCTACAGCGCATCCTCCACCAGAGCCAACCAGTTCACTGCAGTCAGTAATGTGTGTGTGCTGCTAAAAAAGAGAAGAAATTGATCAGCGCAGGGAGAAACGTGTTCACCGGCAAAGGCTGGATGGAGGGTGTGAGCGAGTGAGCGGAGAGGAAGAGCCAGAGCTGTCGCTACACACTTCTGCTGCAGTATCTCACTTTGGCCAAAGAAGCTGCAGACAGGAGTAAAGACCCGGCAGACAGACAGGTACAGGGCGACTGGGGCGACTGGGGGAGGGGGACGGGTGCTGCTAAGGTCAAGTGAAAATGAGGCAGGTGTTTCAAGGACCGATAGAAAACAGATCAGCTTTTTTTGGTGAAGTAATGTAGGATGTCTAGTGAGGCTTGTGAAAGTTGTAGAGTACAGTGTCACGACATGGCGGGTGTCCCGTTGTCTAGAGCAAAGCCGAGAGGGAGGGGGCGCAGAGCGAAGATGCAGCTGACAATGCAAGTGTTGGGATGAAGCAAAGTGTTCATTGTTGGGGGAGTGGGGAGCATCCCACCTCTCTGACCTGCGTGTGGCGGTCGTGTCTTGGACTTCTTGCTGCACATCAGCTCACTGCTCTCTCCTCTGCCCGCTCGCTCCTATTCCCACCTTACGCGGACAACAAAAGGCGTAGTCTGTGGCAGACAGAGCAATGAGAGCGAGGCAACGCGTCGGGTGGCAGCCAGCATTCATTTCCGGAAGCCTCAACTTTGGCTGCTGCTCCCCAGAGAGAAGACAGTCAAAGACATCTATCAGATTTTTTTGGTCTGAGGGGGAGGAGTTGAGAGGTGGGTGGTGGGATGGGGACTAGGTAGAAGGGTAGGAGGGTAATGGTGTGTATATAGACAGATTATTTGAATATTCTAAATCATACTTGTGGTGTGTCGTATTATTGTTATTGTTGCTATTTATTGCACTGATTTTGCCTGTTTGTGCAAATGTCTTATCTGAAATTGAACAAAATTGAACCTGCTTCTTTTCTGACTAGACAATGTTGTGTTTTACTAGTTATCATGTGCCAAGCGTGCCGCCATAGCTGCAGAGTCGAGCAGGTAGGTGGCAGGATCGGAAGGTGTTGCAGTCTGAGTTATTATATACAATTTTTGTACAGGACTTAAATATTGAAATGTGCTGATGTTTGGACAGAGGACATTTATTTGAATTCTGCCTTCTGCGATTGCTGCCCTGTCTGCGCTGGTACCAGAGACTGAAGCTGCTCTGGTTGCCTTTTGCATTGAGACAGGGCACAGTCCAGTCGTGGACCTGATCAGGTCATCTGCATCATGCCAACAGGAAATGTACTTGAGGACAAAGAGAAAGTCCTGTTGCTTGCCTTGGGTGTTTTTCTGTGAAGTCTGCAGAGCCCAGCCTCTATCTGGATTGCTATTGGGGGTTAGTGTTCCCTGATTTTGGATGCTTTTATCTTTTTTAAACATGTTTTCTACACACCTTTGGGGAGAGATTATTCCAGTGGTGCAGGTCTCTAGTGGTTGTTCTAAGTGAAATATTAGACAATGATAGACTGGAAACCCGGGAGCATTTTCTCTACTGTCCAGGGTAAAATGGCTTTTCAATTTTGACAGAAGCCAATGAAGTATAGTGTCACAAAAGGCTTTGGCTGGGATGGCTGAAGGCAAAAAGTGGAAACTTTTAAGTGGAAATGGCAGTGTGTATGTACAGTGTGTGTGTGGTGCATGTGTGTGTGTATATGCGTGTGAGTGTGGCGCACGTGCCCTGCGGCTGACTGCGGCTCCTCTGTAGACTGGCGTACTTCACCTGCTCCCTGAGACCCTAACTTGTGAGCTCTTTTGATAAAATATCACGGGTTAGGCTCTTGGGACGCTGGCGGAGGGCACAATCGACTATTCTTGGGTGGACCTGGACAGAACCCAAAAACGTGCCAGATTGTTTCATTATGTGCAATATAGCTATCACAAAAGCAAGTTATGGTCTTGGGATTTCAGTTTGGCTTACAGTACACTTTTACTATTAGTTGATGATAATGTTCAGAATAGTTCATTTAGGTTGGTCATAGTAATGCGGCAAGTATCTGCATTTCACAATACAGACAAAATTAACTAATGTGTGAGTGGATTTGTGTGTGTGTGTTGAGTGGTGCAATAGTTTATCATATCATCACCTGGTGCACACCGGGGTAGTCTTGCACAGTTTTCCAATGTGGTTTTACTGCAAATGGCAAATAAATGATTCTGATCCATTGTAAATGACTAAATGTCACTCTTCAGACCCCCTCTCTCCCAGATGTTTGTCTCCAGGCTACAGCCAGTACATTGGAATTGCATTTGGCTCCAGCCGCTGACTGCAAAAAACACCCAACACTTTTTACATATTGAGAATCTGTAAAAAATGAAACACTTGAGTATTGAAAAAGTGGAGTGGGTTTCATTAGTTGAATTGTGTGTTGACAGAGATCCATCAGCTGCTCCCGGAGAATTGTGTTGGTTCTTTAATTCAGTGATGTGTTGAGTCCTCACATTGTCATTAGATGTCACAAGCTAATTGGTTAATGGTCTAAATCAATATTCAAATTGGCCTTTAAACCATTCAGACATACATTGCAATTTAAGCAGACAGACCAGTAAAAGACAGAAGATTGAAAAGAAAATGAAAACATTGAATTGTCTTTTGTGAGCATGTCTTAAGCATTGCAATCAGCATAAATTAGCCTCCCTCAAACCAGGTCGTTTTTTATGATTCAAAGGTGTAAATTTGTTCACTATCAGCTTGACCTGGTTTTGGAACTTTCCATTATCCCCAAGGCATTGTGCTTTTCTTAAAACCTAATTTCTGCTAAATTACCCATATTAGGAATGCAGTTCAAAACAATTGATTTTCTAAAACCCTCCACTCCATCTCCTCTAGTCTCCAGTCTCCCTGTCCTAATTATATATTTTTTGTCCCCGTCTTCCCACTTAGTCTCATAGTGAACAATGTCGATGCCAACTAATCAGTGTGTCTGTGCCACCGAGCCCCCAGCAACAACAGCTGAAAGAGTGCCATGCCCCGTGAATACCAAACAGGCCGACACGGTGCGACAAGTGCTGAGCAGAGGGTGCCCACCAAACAGCCAGACACTTTTATTAGGCTCTGTCTGACACACTGCACCCAGCCCTCTGATGAAATCCTCAGCTCCCCCAGCACTAACAAAGCACAGCGCTCTCTGCAATCCGCCAAGGAGCCAATAAATATCACCCCGTAAAAAGAGCTAGCTCCTGGCTAGTTTGTAACTCTGCTGAGGAGGGAGTACAAAGTTTGGTCAAAGTCAGACGAGTTCACCAAAACATCTGTAATATATTCAGAAGGAAATGTCTCCTTTTATTTAGTGAGGATTGACTTCAAGCTAAATAAATATGTCCATTAATATTGTTTATGAATAATATGATTGAAGTTTTAAGTAGGGCTGTTTTTTATTTTGAGACCTTGAGGCAGCGCAAGAAAAAGCTGGGCACCATTGACCTGGCATTTATTTCATTTTTCTAGGAAGAATATACAGTTAAAGAAAGTTTTTAAAATGACATTGTGTTTTCATTTCAAGACACACGAACAGAGATTTGAAACTGGTATAAACAAGAATAACATAAGACTGGTATAAGATGTAATAAAATATCCATGACCAGAAGATGATCTTACGTCTGTCCCAAGTTTGACCAAGTTTGAGGCTATAGTTCACAAATCCATCCATTCAATTAATGAATTAGATTAGTTAAGAACACAGCCATATTTATTACATACATTAATGAAAATTTCTGTTAAAGTGCAAGACCATGGGCAAGTTGTAAGGATAAAAAACACACATTTGTAAAAAAAAAAAAAACAGCACAAAACAAGGTAACAACATCAACAAGTGACATTTAACGGCAGTAAAAAGACGTACGCATGGCCAGGCTCAAATCTCAGTCTGACCTTAGATTTGTACCATTTTAAACATTACACATTTACACAATTCCTAACATAATATCTGTATACAATGACTTCCTTGTTTGTGTGTGAAAAACAGCATCACTCGACAAATGAACGCCATACATTGATGCAATAGTATTAAACTTCTCACAAAACTCCTATTGAATATATCTTAATTAGTAAGAGATTGATTTACTTGCAGTCTCACAGCATTTTCCGTGTGTGTCTCTGTAACGTGGTGCAGGAAGGATTGATTCAGGGCATGAATAGGTGCAGATAAACCAAAAGCTGATGAGGCGAGTGTGTGAGAGAGATTACATTCTATTGTACTCAGACGAGCTTGTAACACGGCAGCCGCCACACAGGCCTGATAAAACTCATATGGACAGTCGGACAGATTACGATTTGACCAGGCGGTTTGGGTTAGCCGACAGGGAAATGAAATGGCTTTTAGCGAACGAGAGAGCATGTTTTGTGTTTTGGACAGACAGTCAGGTGTTGCAGGTCTGCCGAAGCCCCTTTATCGCAGCAGAGGGGTGCAGGTATGGCGGTATAGCAGAGCGGGCCAGGGGAGGCGGAGGGGGTTGGGGTGTCTGAGTTTCCAGACACTGCGGCAGGAGGCCAGACAGTCACCTGAGTGCTCTCTCACGTTAAAACACCTGTGCCACTTCTATTCCTCAGGTTTGCAACAGGCCAACCGGATTAAGGTGAACACTTCAATTCAATTATTATCACACTAACAGTGCAAAACGTGAGAATATTATTTCAATCGCAGTATTTGAGGGATGAGAAATATAAACTTGAGATCCCAGTGAATTTAATCAGTGATGCGCCGAGAGGACGGGTGCAGACCTTATAGAAACTGTGATATTATTGAAAAAAAACCACAAAGTTGTAATGCAGCAGATTGAGACTAGACGGAGCAGAAGCCAACCTCAGCTGGATGTGTGAGAGATGCTTCTGTCCGCGAGGCCCACTCTAAAGGTCTGCAGTGGTCCAGGGAGGGTCTCTGCTCCCTCCATGGGTCTGTTATCTCCCCTTCTTTCTCTGATCTGCAGTTCACTTCGGAGGCGTTGCTAGGGAAACCTGCTATCTGACTAGCAGCTTGATGGAGTTATTGAACTTTAACTGGCTCGTATTATTAAGCTTTGTCTCGCAGTTGGGACTCAAATGCAAATCAAAGTTGTGCCTGATCTGTTACGTATAGGTGTTAAGCCCTGAGCACCAGCCACCAGGTGAACAATAACTGAGAGAAATTTGCATTCATCAAAGAATCAGGGGACATGAATTGAGCTCTTGACACATATCCTTCTGAACTGAGACTTCTGCACTTCACACATTTATGATCCATTCTCAGTTTGAATACTCTAATTTTATTCCTGGAGATTTTGCTGTTTCCAGTTGCTGTATTGTGTGTGTTGTCATTCTGAATTAAAGCTTTCCCGATCATTGTCCTGACATGAATGCTTTTATATCGGTGAAATCCCTCAGGTGTGTTTGTCTCACACACACACACACACACACTAAATTGCTTTTATTATCTTTTAGGTCTGCGAGGCTCTGCAGGTGCCGCTGTCACAGTGATTTTGGGTAAGAATTACAAATAAGCGCTTTTTTGTTGTTTCAATTCCAGCGAGAATGTGCAAAGTGTTGTGGGTGTGGCCAGATGAGTCAGTAAAAATAAAAATGTCAGTGCTCGGTAACAGACTGCCAGGGCCACATTTTTACTGAAGTCATTTGCCCATGTGCCCAGTGCACGCAGAGACCAGACGACCTTTCCCTCTGCCCCGGCCCACAGCAGTCACTTAAAACAGTGATGGATGTTTCCCCTATCACCCCTTCTCTCTCTCTCTTTCTCTTCCCTCTCGCCTCATTTTCCTACGTGCCACCATTTTTGTTCTGACTCTCGGTTCTGTTACTTGCAGAGCTGTGAGAACAATGAAGAGGCAAGCTTTTCCTTCAGGCGCTGCGCAGGACAGGCCACGGTCTTTCCTGCAGCTGATTAGTATGCAGCCAGTGTAGCTCAGGTGACACGGCCTGTGAATTGGGTCCTGAATGCAAGAACATTGCAGCGTAGCAGGGACAGCAGGTAAGGACAATGAGAACAGACAGAAGAGTCTGTTTGTGAGAATGTATGGCTATTGAAACACTCCCCACGTCCTGCGCTCACATTACCCCAAAGACACATACTTTACAGTGATATCATCCTATATCAAATGTAACGTGTTATTGGTAAATAATGTTATTTTCATTGTACACGTAATAAATAAATCTTTGTTTCTTTTATTAAATCTTAATAAATGTTGTCTAAACATGTGTACATCTGTTTTTTTCTTTGTAAATATTGACCTTACATTATCAGTGGGGGACCACCAGAAATCAAACTGACCAGAAGTGTATTCCTCAAATTCTGTTTTCTCGTGTCAGTGAAATAAAATGAAAGAGTTTTGTGTAGGAACTTGTGTGTATATTTGTGTTGCTGGAATCAGTCTGTGTGTGTGTGTGTGTGTCTGGGTGCCTGTGTGTGTGTGTGTGTGTGTGTGTGTGTGTGTGTGCGCGTGTGTGTGTGTCTGGGTGCCTCTGTGTGTGTGTGTCTGTGTTTGTGTGCGTTGGGGGAGCAGTGCAGCAGGCTGCAGATATCATCCATCTCCCTGTCACCGGCCCAAGGGCTGCTGGGAAAGTGGCAGACAGCTCCTCGTCGCTGACAACGGAGACTGCATCCTAATTTCTTCTTCAACACAGAATGTTGGAAAGACTTCTCTCCACACTGTTGTAAGGAAAAGCATTAACCAGCGAGTCAGAGCATTCACACTTCCACATCCATCCTTTCTGATCGTTCATGATAAAACGGCAGAAACAGGTAGAGTGTATGTTGCGTCTATTGTTGGAGCCTGAGATGCGACTGCTTTTATCTCTTGTTCATTTAAGCGGATTACATGCACTGACTTGAGCCATGGCTAATTTAGTTTGAATGCTATTGTTGGACATTCTATAGCTTTTCTTATAGGTTTCTGTTCACACAATGGAAAGTAAATTTAACATGAAGCCGTCCTAAATTCTTATTATATTCTATGGCTCCAATAGCTAATAATAATTATGATAATAATAATTCTTTATCTGTACAGTTTTTTTTCTAGAAGCCTGCAGTAAACTATTTAATCCTATATATTTACAAAAAATAAAACATAAGTATAACAATCTGAATAAACAATAGAACAAATAGTTTGACTCGATGTGAAGACCTTTGTATACACTATACGGATGAATGAAATAAACGTGTTCAAATTATACAAGACTTCAGTGACCATGGTGAACTTAGATGTTTTGCCAAATTACCGTCTTTCAAAAACTGCAAATATTTACAACCGTTCCTATTACAAACAGTTCACAACTAAAATAGTAACACTAGTCCATGATATAATTGCTTTTGAGACACAGGTATATCAGTGGACATGTTTGAAATACATAGAAGATTAGCATGACACCAAGGACAAGTGTGAACATACATTAATGTTATGGCACAATGTAAATATAATATAATCACACAATGTATCATATGTGTTTTAAAGGCTTTTACTTTTATGACAGTCGATTCTGTGTTTCGTGGATATTTGATTGTGACATGGGAATGACTATAGAAAGGAAATGATGAAAGCAGCTTTGATCCTGCTAAAAAGACCCACATCATTTGCAAGCAACAATTCTTCATTGTTGAACTGGCACTGCAAATGACCGTCTACATAAATATATATTTGTTCTCGAAAATGATGGCTTATTTTAAAGTCTGCTGTTTTAATGGTAATAATCAGCTTTTACTAAATGAGAATAAAACTTAACCTCAAGTCAAACATAAACTCTGCGACCTCAGAAACAGGCCATACAAGCTGGATGCTGGATTTGTCATTTGCGGTTTAGATTTCTAAGTTTGGCCCTCTGTTAAACATGAACTGTGTAACCAAGAGCACATGGGAAAATGCTTGAGGCACATTCAAATGCAGTGACATTTACAGTCAGACCTTCAGCTTTAACCACATGATGCACCAATTAGATACTTAACATAATCACTGGAAAATAAGTAGTGTTTTGTGAAAATAAAAGACTGCACTATCTACAATTTGTTCCTGTGTTGGCCTGGATTGTGGCTTTGCTATTTTCAAACGTTCTGCATTATTAGCTCTGACTAGTATCTCATCAATAATGAAAATACATGGCAAGGCTAGGCAAGGCACGTTTATTTGTATAGCACAATTCATACACAAGGCAACTCAAAGTGCTGAACAAGACGAAATAGCATTAAAATCATAAATGATCACAGTACATAAAAAAGAAAGATAAAAATATAAAGTCCCTCAGTTGTATGCTCAGCTAAACAGAACTGTTTTTAACCTGGTTTTAAACATTGTCAGAGAGGAGGCCTGTCTCACATCTTCAGGAAGATTGTTCCAGATTGTTATTTATATTGGACCAAATGCAGGAAACATCAAAGTGCTACATATTAAAATACAGTACAACAAATAAACAAGGTAAACAAAGCAAAAAAACTAAAACATTAGAAGCACATAAACAGTCAATTCAGGTCTTTTTTTGAATAGCCCTAAATAGTTATCCCAGAAGAAGTTTTTGATTTGCCAACACAAATCAGAGAATCAAGCAGTTAAATCATAGAAAAAAAACACACACAAAAAACACAGAGCCTTTTGTCCATAAGGGGCAGATGACCAATGTGCATAAATGTTTATAGATGTCCATAAATGTTTTTAAATGTCCTGGATTGTCACCAGAAAGAAGGAATGAAGAACACACAGCATATCATAACAGCACCTTATAATTTAAAAACTAAACTAGTGGTGCTTTTGTCATCTGATCACACAAGCATGTGTTTTTGCAGTCATTCCTTTGTTAGATTAATCTGCCTAAATGTTCCGGAGACAATGAAGAGACTGAGATCCAGTTGATAGTCACACCAGAAGGAGGTTTTCTGAAGTCTTGCCACAACGTCGGTGTAAGCTTGAAGTGTGTATGGAATGATTTATGATCTCCTAATTTCCTTCTTTGCGGGTGGATTGACCCCCGTTTCAAGTATTAGTTAACACAGTTATGAAGCCACATTTTATGATTTTCAAATATACATTAAAATTTACAGGTAGTTCATCAACATTCTTGGAGTCACAAGACGAAAATTCATTGTGGATCATAAAGTTTTACAACACATGAAATAATTTTACGGCACTAGAAATATTCTAATAAATAAAAGTAAATTCTAGTAATTTAGTTCGTCAAATATAAATCATTGACCAGTTTATAGAGCGGCTCCTCAACATAATAAAATAATAATACATCCCCTGTGACGTCATCTTTTACAACCAGGAAGTCAAATTATAATCATGCCCAAACCAAATCGCGGTAATATTTGGAATATCTTGATAAAATACTCAATAAATACAAAAGTGGTTACGGTGTTGTGTAAAAAGTAGCGCCTGACCTGTCAAAAGCACTTTAATTTTAAATATTTGCTGCCATCTATGGGACTGAGCGGGCATTGCAGCTAAAGGTCCTGCAGTTTATACAAAATTAAAAATTATTTGGACAAGCGAGTAATTGACACCACGTTATGATAGAGATATTAGAAAATATATCGATGTATACAATATAGAGTTTCTATGGTTTCTACTTCAATATTTACAGTCAATGCTAGGTAGGTTAGCTGATTTTCCCATGGATTTTCCCGCCATTAGCCGACCGCGGTCTGTGATAGCATCCCACTGAGAACCATGGATTTATTATGATAATTGAAAACTTTGAAAACTCATGGATCTACTTTAATAACGAGAAAACTCTTGAAATCTCATAGGTACAGTCTTTGGTATCTACACATGGCTGTGCTGTGGCTGAGACAAGGTACAAGCAAGTTCTGCATTCCTTACATTGAAATAGTTTTGCATTAATTTGTTCTAGGTTTTAGTGTGTAAGAAACGTGTATTTAGTTGTTATTTATATATTTAAGCATCTGTTAATTACAGGAGTTATATAATTATTCAATATGTACACTCAGGACAAGAGGAGGCTCAAAAGGAGTATGAGGAAGTTTAAAATTAGCTAAATAAATAATCCAATGTTTAGTTTCATATTTCCGGAAATTTCAATTTACAAGTAAACTTTACTGAATATTGCAACCTATAGTCACTTTCAATACAGTTCAATAGTCTATTAGTTTAAAACCATTAGTCGTTCAGAAGTCTCCATGCTAAATTACATGGTCAGAGTAAGTAAGCTGCTTAACTACTGCATCGGCATATGCGTAAGTAACACAACCACATCTGCACGTAACACAACTACAGCTGCACGTATTTAAGCAACACAATCACATCTGAACATATGTGAGAAACACAACCACATCTGCACATATGCAAGTACAACCTCATCTGCAAATAACACAATCACATCTGCACATATGTGAGCAACACAATCACATCTGCACATATGTGAGCAACACAACCACATCTGCACGTAACACAATCACATCTGCATACATGTGAGCAACACAACCACGTCTGCACGTATTTAAGCAACACAATCACATCTGCATACATGTGAGCAACACAACCACGTCTGCACGTATTTAAGCAACACAATCACATCTGCACATATGTGAGCAACACAACCACATCAGCACATACACAACCACATCTGCACATATGTGAGCAACACAACCACATCTGTTCATAAGTGAGAAACACAACCACATCTGCACATATGCAAGTAACACAACCTCATCTGCACGTAACACAACCACGTCTGCACATATGTGAGCAACACAACCACATCTGCACGTAACACAATCACATCTGCATACATGTGAGCAACACAACCACGTCTGCACGTATTTAAGCAACACAATCACATCTGCATACATGTGAGCAACACAACCACGTCTGCACGTATTTAAGCAACACAATCACATCTGCACATATGTGAGCAACACAACCACATCAGCACATACACAACCACATCTGCACATATGTGAGCAACACAACCACATCTGTTCATAAGTGAGAAACACAACCACATCTGCACATATGCAAGTAACACAACCTCATCTGCACGTAACACAACCACGTCTGCACATATGTGAGCAACACAACCACATCTGCACGTAACACAATCACATCTGCATACATGTGAGCAACACAACCACGTCTGCACGTATTTAAGCAACACAATCACATCTGCATACATGTGAGCAACACAACCACGTCTGCACGTATTTAAGCAACACAATCACATCTGCACATATGTGAGCAACACAACCACATCTGCACATACACAACCACATCTGCACATATGTGAGCAACACAACCACATCTGTTCATAAGTGAGCAACACAACCACATCTGCACATATGCAAGTAACACAACCTCATCTGCACGTAACACAACCACGTCTGCACATATGTAAGCAACACAACCACATCTGTACATACTAAGCAATACAACCACGTCTGCACATATGTAAGCAACACAAGCACACATCGTAATATCTATTTCAACTAATAATAGGCTAAAATTGATAAACTTTCAATTCCTGTGAAATGTGTTTTATCAAAGGTATTTTATGTATGCCCTTATATCTATTTCTTACTTTAGAACTTGTTTGCACCATGTACTAAAGCAAAATACAGGCTACTAACAATGGTAATAAAAAAAAAAATCTCACAATGGTAAGCTAGCAGTCTCTCATTTTCTTACATAATCATTTTGAAGAACCTTATCCCACTGAGGTATATATTAATATGTTTTACTAGAAAAGTAGTTAGTGGTGTTATGAAACTCGTCATCAAGAGAGTTTTCTGCAGAAAAATGCAGGTCTGACAATGAAGTGCTTTTTAATTATATCAAATCAAATCAAATCCAGGGTAAGAAATAATTATAATGAATAAATCAAATGTGGTATATAAACTTGACGGCAAGTGGAGCAAAGCACAGGTTACAAATACACACAAAGGGAGACGCTTGAGAGTCACCTTAGGGTGGGGCAAACAATCAATGCAACAGGTAGGAGAACTAAAATGACAACAGATGAGGTAAAAAAATAAATCAAAGTTGAAAATAAAAGTTTACACCCTTGTATGTTTCTTTTTTCGTGTCCCTGTGATGCCCCACTACGTTCATGCCCAATTACCACCCAACAGCACAAACATACTACATAACACAATGTTTGAGTGCACGTATTAAAGCATTTCAGCCTCCTGTAAACAATTAGACTGAAAAATGTAAACCGGACATTTTACATGAATTTAAAAAGAAAAGAAAATTCTCTGTTCTTAACGTCTTATAAAATAGTGAAAAATATTCAATTTTAGATTAATTCGCAGAATAATTGATTGCCCTAAAGTGAACTTCCATTATTTATTGAGTTCATATGTGAATACATGTTATTGCACTCATGTCACATACTACAATCCTATTTAGTAATTACACTGGTCACAAAAGTAATTATGAAAGCATCCATCACTCCTTTGTAACGCCCTATTTCCACCTCCAGGGAGCGCACTCCTGCTCTGCGCTTAACACACCAGACACCTCTGTCTTCTTTTGAATTCACGATGACATATTTAACGTACGGGTCAGTGGCAAAACTTCCTTTGCATTGTCAATAACTCCTTAGTTTAGGCTTCTCTAGCACTGATCATATCCATTGGTCCACATACATTTCAAACAATGTTTTCCTGACATATTAGTTAATATTCAGTAATATATGTCTTGAGTTTTCTTTTGACAGTATTTGACAGGCCTCATCAAACCAGAGGTAACTGCGTCTCAAATTAAATACTTTTTGAATGAGCCGCTCCTCTGTAAGCACATGCCCGGCGGATCCATCTAGTATTTATAGTTAGTAACAGAGTAACAATATCGACAATTAGCTTCAGGGGTATGTGACAGTGTTCAAAAAAACTCTTACTAAGATACTGTATATGAAACATTTCTCAAACTATTTCCCACTTACAACGTTAAGGTAAGGCTTTGTGTGAGTGGTGAATTCAACCAGTGACAATGAAAGGTGAACCTTGTGAAGATACTACTTTATTTTCTAATTCCAGAGCAGGAAACATCAAGATGCATAGTAAATACTAAGTGTAAATGAAACAAGGTTTTTGGAAAATAAAATGATGACGATAATATTACTAATTTGAGGCAGTTACAGGTTCCTTGCCAGTAGGTGACACTAAAGCGCTTCTTTAGGTTTAGTACTTATTCTAAGAAAGCTCTTACTATGAAAAGCCATGTTCTTTCTAGTGCTTAATGTTTCTGTTGTTGTATTTTCTTTTTTCAGAAAAAAGTAAGAAAAACCAGGTTCAAATTGAGAAGACTGCCAGGATAAGAAACTGTACAGGTAAACCATCGATTCTTTGAGAACATGGGATTACATTCACAGTAAAGAAAAAAAAAAAAAAAACTACATAAACTTCCATTTTGGTCTATAATATATTTTGTTTTACAAATGAAGACAAAAGAGGCAACAGCTCTTGAACATCTTACATTTTTGCAAATCCTTACGACTCTCACGGGGAGAACATGCAAACTCCACTCAGAAAGGCCCTGTTCCGACCGGGATTCGAAACCAGGACCTTCTTGCTGAGAAGCGAGAGTACTAACCACTCAGCCACCGTAATGCCCGTGAGTGTATTTAATCCAGATAAAACAAAAACAATACAAAAGTGAACATCAAAGAGACATTTTATGTAAAATCCTTTTTGAGCTTTTAACCATATTACAACATTTGGAGTTGTCTATAGATCCATCTGTGTTAATATTATCCCTCTGTTGCCTCCGGTGGTACCACAGGGAGTTGCAGGTGGAAACATGTTTAGACTTCGTATTCACCATATACTATATATTCACCACATATTTTGTATATTTCTACAACAGGAAACTGCAATGTAAATATTCTCATGATATTTTATATGAATAAACATAATGTATCATATGTTTTCATTAAATTGACATTTGGAATAGAGGACTAATTACAAGTCAGTGATGCGCAAACAGTTGATTCATGATAAACTTCTCATGAATGCACAAACAGCAGTGCTCGTGGTGCAACCATGAATAGTAATGAAACCCAAGTACTGTGCGTGTCCCTTCACTGAGGTTTATGACGGAATCCTCCTCGCTGATGACAACATGCAATCATGCTGTTCTTCAAACAGACACCAGCCCTGGGGAATAAAGCAACTCTGAAGAATCAACACGACACCGCACCACTGCCACGTGCCGCTGCTTAACGTCTGATTTATCTCACACTCAAACACTGTGTTCAAATCGCATTGTTGTCGTAAAGAAGACTTTAAAATAATGAAATAGCTGCAAAGCCGTTATTGCTGCACTCGTAAGTGCGAGCAAATGTTCCATAATTTTTGTCTCTATCCTTAATACCGACCTTTCATTTTGATGGTATTTCCTTTGAATAATATGAAGACCAAAAAAAATCATATAAAAGTGGTAGTGAAATTCTATTTGGATTTTATAATCTTTATTTTAAAGTCAATGCAAATTTGACAAGGAGACAGATAGATACATACATCTACCTTTCTTGGAGTTTTAAATTGAAAATTAACTGTGTCTCTCCTTTTTTATGTATTTGCACATTTGCCTTTTTCTCACAGTTAACATTTTGAATGAAACAAGATCATAATAGTTAAGTAACGGATATAGAAGTTATAGTAACAGTAGAAGTATTTGAAAGAAACGTAGGCTGTTTTCTTCAAACATTTTCGCTGTGACAGCATTGGTGTCGTGACGAGAAGTAACTCAGAGTAGTTACATTACTTTTACATTCTCAATGCACCATATAATCCCTTGTTGGTCCAGGAGTGATCCACGAGAGAAGAAGCAGTTGTCTTGACTGAAGCCAGGTGATAAAACTGGAAGTTTAAATCCACTGAAAAAAAAACCTTTGACTGTTTTCAGAAGAATTAACTCTTTTTTTTTGTTTTTGAGTTTTGTGGCACTGAGAAAATACATGTAATTTTGATTTAAATAACTGACCTAAATCAGGTGAGGAAATCGTTGCTTTTAGTTTTGTAATGTACATGTCCGGTGTTCACTACTTTTGAGGATTTTCTGCCATTTGGCTTGGAGATAGAGGATTTGTATGCCAAGATTATCACCCTCCAGGAATAGTACGAATGTGTGGTGATGCACTCCTGCTCTGTGTAAAACCTGTGAAATGTTCTTTACTCACTTCTGCTCAGTGCTCACAGATAGATGCACTTTATATCAAATTAGCAATCCAACCTTTTTTACTTTCTTATGTTTTGTGAAGACTAAGTGCATTTGTGTGCTTGTGCAAGAAGATTGATCTTCTCTAATTTTTGTAAAACCATTTTTATGACTCCCTCATGAATACGTTCAGCCCTTTAACTTCAAAAATAAATATTATCACATAAACATACACAATATAGTATTAATTCATTAAAAACACAGACGTCACACTTTTTTCTTTACTTCAGTAAATGAAAAATCTTTACAGAGACAAGCTTTTTGTTTTTGATATTTTGTTTCACTGAATGTGCAGTATTTTGTGACATAACACAAATTGTCATCTGATGACGCCACATATGCTTCATAAGGATTTCACTCTTTGTAGAAAATGAACAACTGCCTTTATAAAAGACTTCCCACATTAGTGCATTAAGATTCATTCCTCTGCAGATGAGACCTAAACACATGTTCCTTCATCTGTTTGTTGAAAGCCTCTCTCTGCACAAAGCCTTGTCTGTGTATTTGTGCATTCTGCAACATTGTCATCCTCAGCCGTAAGTGAGGCTTTGGCCGTTCATGGTGATCAAGGCTTTAGAAAGTCTCTCCTGACCAGGCCTTGCGCTGACAAAGGCCATATTCACTTCATCATCTCGGGAGGTATTCCTGTGGCAGTCCGCTAAAGTTTCTGCTCTGAAGAGCCTGGTCCACATCATGAATGCAAGCGTCGATCATGCGCTTCATGTCCGGCGTGAAAGGGTCAAAGAAAGGTTGCTGTGACCGTTTAAAATGGCCGTCCTGGTTACTCTGGGCGCAAAGGAGCCTCTCTTCGTTCACAGTGGTGTTCAGAAAGGAGAGTATGAGGCGCAGCTGTGGGATGAGCATATTCTGAAGCTCCTCGTAATGAACCACCAGCAGCTTTTTGCCGAACTTCAGCCAGCTCAGTGTGTGCGATGCCCACCAGGGGGCATAGCTGGAGACAAACTCCGGCCACTCTAAAGAGAAAAGACACAAGTCAAGAAATGCTTTAAAAAAATTTTGTTTATAATGAGACTTTGTTTTCTATTAAAAAAATATGTTCTATTTAGATCTGCAGAAATATGAGAAAAGTCTGGCTCATATTCATGTAACTCTTATAACAAAAATATTACCCATGAATTAGTTTTGACAAAAATGAAGTTACATTTGTTACAATCACATGGCTGTGTTTGCAGACAGCGATTTGAAAAAAAAGATCTCATCTTTATTTGGCCAAAAATTGCATAATATAATCATGACCATCATTTTTATCAGGTGGGATTTCAACTTTACCTTTACTTTTCCACTGCGCGTCTGAGGCGTGCCCTAAATGCCCGGCACACTTGCGGTTGAATTCAGCCATGAGTGACCTGTACGGGTTGCGAATCAGTAAGATGGCTGAACTAAACATCTCTATTTCTTTCTGACCACTCTCATGGGTCTTCACACAAATACTACGACCGCTCTTCCAAAAGTCCTTCTCTCCCTTGAAACCTGGCAGCGAACAACAAATAAATTGATTCCGTCAGCCTTCCACACACTCAGCACTTGTTCATTTTAGCAGTTATGAGGCTGTACAGACCTCTGTTGTAGAGCGTGCCGTCAAAGTAAAAGCTGCCGGTGTAGAAGCCTGTCACCAGCTCGATCAGGTGCCGGACCCAGGTGTTTCCAGCACCAGGAAAACTGGAAAGAGCCACGAGGTTGCTGGATCTCTGGGGCAGAAACATCCTCTCCTTGCACCTGGAGTCTGCAAACCGCAATTCCACATTTTAGACACTAGTAAACCTGAGGTGGACCAATTGGAGCATTTAGACCAGCTTCCTTTTTTGGTTTATGAATAAAAAAAACATTTTAAAATGTTATTAAAAAACACCCCATAAAATAATAATAATTGTCAGTAATTTTCAAAAACAGTTTTTACAAAGAACTGCACAGTCATCTTAACGCAATGAAAACAAGACTCTTTGTGAACAACTGAGACCCCAACATGCTGTATTCATCTTAGTAGAAAACGCCCAACTTAGTTGCGGGAAAATCCCTGTAAGGCATTATTTGACACTTTAGGCTGAGTGCTGATTGAGGGTGGTCTGATCTACTTCACTTATCTGTTTGAAAAAAGCTGATCTAAAGCTGGTAAGAATGTGAAAACTAGAGATCGAGCCAACATGTTTTGGAGCTGGAACTTGTTAGATGGATGTTTGACCTGATTTATCTTCTCATACATTTGGTCATTGTGGACATGGGCTAATAAAAGTGAAAACAAACAGGTACAAATAGTAAACAAAAACTGGGCACTTTCACTGTAGAATAAATGAATGAATGATATATTTAAACAGAGATGGTTCGATTACAGCAGGAGAATCCATGTGAACCCCATGGTTTATTTCTATTAGTTCTTTATCATTGAAAGTAAGCTCTAAATATTTTTGATTGAATTTGCTTTCTGTTTTGGACCTCTGTGTATTTGTGTCTTCTAAAAATACATTTTAAAAAGTCAAATATTTAGTCATAAAAGTAAATTATTTTGCTCAAATAAATTGTTTTATAAAAAGTACACCATAAGTAATATTGAGCCCCAAAATATAATATATTGAACGATACATTTATATAGTAATTAGGGGTGTGACGATATACCGATTTTTTGATATATCGCAATACTTTCTCCCGCGATTTGATTATCAATATGCATTTGCCAAGTATCAATATTGATTTTGAAAAAAAAAGAAAAATTGAAATTGTTTTTTTGAATTGGGATAAATACTTAATATATGGCTACATTACGCATCTCCATTCCATTTATTATGAAATAAAGTGTATTTTTTCTTTTATTTATGCCATAAATTGGCATATTGTTTATTTCTGACCAATATATCGATAATTGTCATATCGTGATAAAATCGTTATCGTGATAAAATTGTTATTGTGATAAAATCGTTATTGTGATAATATCGTCATCGTGAGCTTTGTATCGTGTATCGTATCGTATCGTGAGGTACCCTTAGGTTCCCACCCCTAATAGTAATTGTCAAATTTGCAGGAGCTACTTATCTTGGTGGATTGCTCTGCTGTTAAATTATCTATATGATTTTCTTTGGAAAATAATGTAATCCCCCCACTGATTTCACTATCCCCCTCAAACAATCAAAAAATTGTACAGGTGGTGGTTATACCAAGGGGAGGGAATATGTTAAATAAATAAATTTAGTAGTCTTGAAAAAAAAAAAGACTACTAATGGCGATGAATGCCATCTCTCAGGCGCCAGTCCCATACTTGTTGATGAATTTGCAGCCGGATAGAACCAGAATTGCGCATGAACAAAGCTCATTAATAGAATTCAGTGTGCCCCTAGTGGTCACCGGTGGGACATGCACCCTCTGCGTAATGTAGTATTTTGCTTGTACGGATGTTAAGTTTTGACTATGCAACTTTGAGGATCGGAAAAATTTTAGGTCAGGAGCCTCCATAGGTGGCTCTTTACAGTCATATTAGGTGTGTATTTTCACACCATTAGCTCTGGCCATTACCAACTGTTAGTGATGTGAGTTTCAGCTCTGTAGGTCTGATCTTGTGGCCAAAAGTGCATCAAACATGGAGAAATTCCCTCCACCTCGCATGAAAACGGTGAAGAATAGAAAAATGTGTGTCTCTTCAATCCGTTCAGATGGGAAAATTACAAGAGAGAAGTCTCTGCAATGAATAACCTGGGACTAGATCAAATTTGAAAACAAAATACCTTGAACTACCTGTAGGTGGCGCTGTTTAACTCACAGTTTTGTGTTTGCATAATATTCAAACACAAAACTCATGGACAAACATTACTCAGTCATTTTTGGGCCAATCCGAGCACTAGTGCCCTATTACTTTGAAACAGGTGGCGCTATAGAGCTCATATTGGGTGTATGATTTTAGTATCATTGGGTTCAGGCCATAACCTAATATTACTGATCTGAGTCTCAGCTCTGTAGGTCTGAGCCTGTGGCCCTGAGGGCTCAGCCAAAACAGCCAAAACAAAGGCGTTATTTGCCATGGCGTGGGATTTTTGTCATACTTCAACAACAAAAGCAAATATGATGAATCATGAGACCAGTCATGAACATAATACATCTTTTGTTCACTGAACAAGCCAAGAGTGTAAAAAGGGTATTTGGAAGGGTAGATCTTGTAGGAAAAAAGTGTCATCATTTCAAGTGTACTCTACAATATCTTCTTTATACATTTCTTTAAACTTGTGTAAATGATTATTTGTGTTGTGTTGTTTTGAGTGAGTTGCTGCTGAGACATGACATGTGAAAGAAATAGTTTGTTACTCACCAAGGACAGGTGTCTGATAGACGTGGTAGTGGTCCTGCTCTGTGTGTGTGGTGAATGGTACAGCAGCAGTCTGGTTGGGCACACATTGCTGACCACTAAACGGGTCATTCACACTGAACAGAGACGATGTCCACGTGCAAAAACAGTGAGGCCGGCTCAGAACAGCAAGAGGCAGCTCCTGCAAAGACCACATCAGCTGAAGCAGTCCACATCTGCAATACCGACTACAACATGCTTTGATAAGGATCATATATGCACATGTATTCAGACATACATACACTAAATACAGTATAAGGAATGGATTTCTCTTTGAAAAGAAGAAATGATATAGAACCACATATAAAGTTCAAACCTTGTCTGTGCAGGTCTCGATGCAGGACTGTGCGGTCAGATTGGGCTGAAATGAATAGATGGGAAATGTGCCAATGATGCTCTTGAGCAACTGGAAGCATCCGCGATAGTGGACATTTCTGACTGCAACATAAACAGCCCAACATCAGTGTTGCATCTCAGAGAATAATAACAAAGCTACAATTTTCAATGTTGGTATTTGTTTAATATATAATTTTATTTGAATTAGGGGTGGACGAGATATCAGTATTCACAATATATCGAGATCTTCTCTGCACTCGGCTGCTCCTCCTTGCTGTTGCTCCCCCTCCCCTCGCCTGTGTCTCATTCATGGTATTGTGCGCGCTCAGCTCGAAGCAGAGATTGTAAACATGCTCGGAGCCACCAAACTTGTGTAAAAAACGCAAAATGTAGAATATGATAGAAGCACAGGCGGTGAAGCGTCTTTGGCATTTCATAAAGCGGTGATATGGCACCTTTTGTCGTCATTGAACAACGTGGCTTTATACTACAGACTGTAAACTTTATACGCAGCTAAAAACAAAACACATACAGATTAGCGAGTCGAGGCATTACTTTGCAATACACAAACTCCTGCGACTGTACACTAAGAAGTATTGGAACTTACTATTAATGTAATCAGGGACTAAAATGTTGCAGAAGCACTTTGTTCCACTGTTCTTATATGCACTGCCTGGAATTGAGTCGTTTCATTTTTGAATGAAGAGAAGGCAAATTGTTTAATTTAATCATTTATTTCACAGTTAATTGCTCATTTTTGTTTACAGGAAATTAAAACAAATGGAACAGAAGCACTTTGTTCCTACTTAAACAGACTACTCTTTGAGATTCAATAAACTTTGGAAATTTACAAATTTGTATTTGCAGTAGTTTTTGGGGGTTTATTTATCCTGTAAAAATATCAAAATATATATTGTATATTGAGACATAATTTTTTATTTATTTAGATATGTTTTTTTCTCCAAGCCCTAATTAGAATGACTTGTAGCCTTGGTCAAACCTACAAGTAGAAAATGCACATATATTTTATCATACAGCCTGTTTTTTTTTTCTTCAATTCATATTCGGAAGACTGAATTTCTGACTTTGATTTTTTTAGTAAATAAAAAAACGACCTTTGATTTATAGGTAGTCTCCAGTGAAATAATAGAAGCTCTGCAGCTGCTACCTCTGAAAGTCAAGCACACATAAAATCTTAAGTGATCTCCATCAATCAACATTTAGAGCTGCACTAAGCCCGATCTTATGCAAAACCACACCTGTGTGATTATCTTAAATCAAATCAGGCTGTGAAAACAGAGCAGCCCAAACTCGCCTTGTCTTCCATCTTTAGTTTCACACTTTGTTGTTGTTTATAAAGTCACTTTCACTCAGAGTTTACAGTCACAGAAGTTTCTCTGTCACTGTTCTTTTCATCAGAACTTCGCAGGAGCATCCTGTGGGCTGACTCACATTTGCGGTGGCCAGGCAGCTGCTCCTCCACTTTGTAAATTGAGAGTCGGCCGACCCCGCCACACGGAGACCCCCTCTCACCCCGACACATCAGGCTGCAGTCCTCCTCTGGGGCCCGCGAGCTGCCAATTCTGTTCCCACAGTGACATTCTGCTCCATACTCCAAACCAGCAAAGTGGTACCCACTACACACACACACACACACACACACACACACACACACACACACACACACACACACACACACACACACACACATATATAGAAGCAGTTACTGCATAACGCAAGCTCAGTGTAATCAATAACCTCAAGCTATTGCCCTTCGGCTAAGCCCTCCCACAAGACATTAGTTAACATTTACAACTTATCATATAATTCAGCTCTGAGCATTAAATCCCCACTATTCTGGGGCCTCAGTGAGACGGCTGAACTCTGTCCCCTCTCGTCCGTGCTTCACAGATAACAGCTCTGCTCTCTCATCTGCCTCCATGGGAAAAACCAAACCCTCATCAGAAGTGACCTTTTCGTATGTGTCCTTTGAAGCTTCCTCATAAATTGCTCTGACTTTTTGCTTTTGCTCGTCCCAGTAATTGGAGAGCTCAGGTAAAAAGCAAGACTGTGGAAAGAAGCATTGAGGTTACATTTGTCTGACTTCATTCAGTATTATTTTTCCACTTGTTTGAGAATTAGTAATTGATGCAGGACATTTTGTGGATGTATTTGTAGATCTTCTCAGCTTCATATCTGTGCTGTGGCACAGTTCTATTGAAAACACAGTTCATACTGACTCACTCTGAAGTGTCCTTTCTTGGACCAAATCACACTTCTAATCCCCGATTTATTCAGCATCTGCTGTTGACTGCTCATTAAGCTTCTTCACTCATCCACACCTCCCTCCTTCCTTCTTCTGCATCCAGCCTTCTGTCCTGGCCTCTCTTCACTCTCCCCTTGCTCTCCCCTCATCTTTTACTGTCACACAGCCACCTGGCTCTCCTCTTGCTCAAACACAGGAGCCATTCATTGAGGAGATGGAGATTCAAAGGCTTTTTCAAACTGCAGGCCTTCTGTGGCCCCTTTGAGGAGCTGCATGAATGTAATACCTTTCGGAGCAGGTGTCTTGACACAGAGAGCTGGTCATTTTGCGTAGGTCATAAAGCATGGTTCCTCCCAGAGCGCGATCACTTGCATTGTGTAGAAAGCAGCCCATGTATGTTCCTGTGTATTCAGAGAAAAAAGTAGTATCTTATACACACACACACACACACACACACACACACACACACACACACATACACGTTTTTGTTACCTGGTGGGTCCCTTTGACAGGGCCGATCAGAATGGGACCCATAGACATAATCTTTTTTTACTGGGACTACTTTAAGTAATACAAAACAGTCAATAGAAACCAAACAACTATTTTAAAGGAATTTTATTTTAGATTTTTTTTTCGAATTGCAGTGATTCTATTTTTGACATAGAATTTAATGCCACTCCATGTCCGATGTCTAAGGTCATCTGGTGAGGCATTAATGCAGGCCAGGCAGTGAGACTTCCCAGGGACCTTTCCAGTCTGTATGAAAGGTGTCATGGTCTTCTCCACAGCCTTCACCTCAGATGCAGACCATGGCTTTCTTACACGTTCTAGGGAGAGAAATAAAAATATATTAGCAATATACACTCCCAGGGTGAGGACCAAGCAGCCTGGCTGTAATCCCCCACCTGGTACACTTACCAGAAGGGGCGCTGCCACTACCATGGGGTGCATCTGGATGAATGGTTGAAGGTTCTCCGCTTGAAGTTTCTTTTAGCCCGTCCGTTTGTGAGAGGATCTCTACTGCTCTCCCTGTCGCACAGAAAATAAAAATACAAGTGGCCTTTAGGGGAAAAAAATCATACATATTTTAATATTATCAAGAATTACCTTCAGGCTCAATTTGTATCTGGTCGAGGCTCTTTCCTTCGAATTCCGTCACTCTTCCCTGCTCCATGGCCATCAACACTTTGCTGATTTTGGCCAGCTCCAGTGTCCCCTCTGGTAGTCTGTAATATTGCCTGTGGATGCGAATGTCATGGCCGAGGAAGTTGGCAAGTATGTCCATCTCATTCTCTTTCATATTGAGAACTGTAGACATAGTAGCTATGTGCTTTCTAAGTTTGGTTGAGGATAGCATCTCTGGATGCACCGCACCACATTCTTTGGCTACCTGGCGTAGGGAGTCTGATCCCCTGATGTGGGTGTCTGCGCCCGGGCGGGAAAAGAAGTATGGGTTATGGTCAGAGATGGAACAGGCCCTTCTGTTCTCCACCAGCACCTCCATCGAAGCAATCATTTCAGGAGTCAAAAGAACCGGCACTTTCCGACTTCTTTTCCCTTTAATTTCAATGCGTTGAAAATGCTGACACAGCTTTTTCTCAAGTTGGGACAGTCCCAGAGCAATGTCAGAATGGATCCCAGTCTTACTTCTTAAGGTAAAGGCTGTCAGTGGCATCTTTGAAACCTCACCTTCCCTTCTTCGATTGAAAATGATGACCTCACAAAGAGTCAAAACTGCCAGTTTAGACCAATGCTTAGACGTTGGCTCACTTATTAGGGTTTGCACATATTCAGGTCGACATACCTCAATATGTGCATGCATGGCTCTAACGTCCTCAGTCAGAGGGAGCAGGTCCGGAGTGTTCCACTTGGCTTGCCGGAGGGTCTGTAGGGCAGCAGAAGAAACACAGACGTCCCACCTCTTCTCAAAAAGCAGCCGGCTTCGTTGGAGGTTTTTAATAAATAGTTCATCAACACAATGCTCCATTTTTGAGTCACATTCAAGAATATCTGCTAGCTTTCTGAGGCTATGGCCGAGTTTGAGGGCCAAGGATGGAGGGTTGTATTGATTTGTTTCCTCATCATATCCAGCCACAGACCTGACTGCATCAATCACATGGTTAAAGTTGGAAGGAATAAAGAAATCCTTAATTGTTTTCAGTTTCCCTGCGGTTTTTGCTTCGTTAATTAACCTACCGACTTCTCTCATTTTCTGCCTAATGTAATCATGCTTAGTCTTATCATGCCCGTGTTTTAAGTACAGGTGCTCTCCGAGTCTCAGAATCCCCTTTTCTGCTTTGACAACACCCGTGACCTCATCCTGATGCATTGCCGAAATTAAAGACCACAGCTTTTTGCTGATGCCCTCCGGTACAGGCTGGGCTAGGGAGCAGAGGGACTGGACCCTACTTCTACCTGGTTTAGCCTGGGCATCTTTCTGTGAAAGCCGGCACCTGGCCACATGCCTCCACAGCGACTTTCGCTTAAGCAATGCCCCACAGTCTATACAGTGCAAAAACTCACTGGATTTAACTGGGGAATTTGGCTGTTTAGCTGGGACTAAAGTTCCAATGCCGGCCTTTAAAACCTCAAAATTGTGCTCACGGTTTCCACTATTCCTGATCAAATCAAACTGAAGTTTACATGCTTTAGATTTCACAGGTAGAGCCAATGCTCTGGCTACGTCACTTTCATTTCCATGTTTTTCTAGTCAAATGACGGGACATTTTGTGGCAGGACATTGAACAGTAGAGGCAGAAGTGTCTCTTGCTGTAAACTCGCCCCCCATTTTTCTTCTTTTGCAGCTGCATGATAACAATCTTATTTGCCTTTGGTTCGTCACTTTCCGAGTCTTGAAGAAAAGTGTTTTTGATTTTTCTTTTTCCATACTTTTTTACAGGTTTCTTCTTGACAGTTAAATCGTCAGAATCTGAGTCGACTTCATCAATTAGGGACTCTTGACTAAGCTGCACAAACAACAAATAATTTGTAATCATTCTATATAACAATTTGAAGTCATGACTTGTAGTCAGCACTTACCAGTGGTTTGTAAGCGTGCGCTTCAGTGTGCTCCTCCATGATTTCTTGCAGCCTAATGAACCACACACTTGCACCTTTTTCTAGCCTGACACCTGATTTCCTCTGTTGTGCTGCTCCATGATTGGCTCCAGCCTGCTGGACTGAAATTGCCCCAGTGTGCCCCTCCTTGATATCCCGCAACCCACCACCAGGGTTCCGACACATAACACACTTTTTTCAGGAAAGTAAACCTCCAGGGGTCCTTTCCATATTTTTACAGAGACTGCATAAGGACCGTTAGAAAAGCATTACCCATTGATTATTAAGCTTGGACCAGTGGGGTCTGGTGTTCGGGCCCCACCACGTAAAACCAGTCCCCATGACGTGAGTGGAATCTCAGGTTATGGAACCCACCAGGAGTTGAAAACAAGTGCACACACACACACACACACACACACACACACACACACACACACACACACACACACACACACACACACACACACACACACACACACACACACACACACACACACACACACACACTCGTCTACCATGGGGTTCGCATTCTTGTCGACCCTGACTTTGTGCTTTAGCTCTAATGAGCTTAGGGACAAGACAATAGCTGACACCTTTCTGCAAAATGTTTATTTTGTACATGTAGTAAAACTTCAAAATGATACTCAAATAAGTATCAAATAATCATTCATCCCATATTTATGTAAATGTATTTATTTTGTATTGTACTTTACTGTCGGTAAGTAAGTCATATTTATTTATATACCGCCTTTCACAGACCAGAGTCACAAAGCGGTTTACAATTGTTATTTCTTGGGCAATTGTCCTCTCACTCCACACAGAGAGATAGGAGCGGGGTCGCCAATACAGAAAGGTGCAGGCCAGACCTATTGTACATGTTTTTAGTGGTAGGGGAAACCGGAGCACCCAGAGGAAACCTACGCAGACACTGGGAGACCATGCAAACTCCACTCAGAAAGGCCCTGTTCCGACCGGGATTCGAACCCAGGACCTTCTTGCTGAGAAGCGAGAGTGCTATCCACTCAGCCACCGTGCCGCCCAGTTATGGGGGGAGTTATGAGGGGAGAGGGTAACCCCTGAGAGCTGAGTGTGTGTGTGAGTGAATGTGTTGAGCTTTTGTCCTGTTTTCTTTTTTTGTGTTTGTTTAATGTAATAATTTTGTTTTGTATATAATTGACTGTTGCTGCTGTTGTGTTATTTTTGAATTAGATTTTGAGGACCCCCTCGGAAACGAGATGATTCATCTCAAGGGGTTATTCCTCTTAATAATAATAAACGTATAAGTATATTTATATTTTTATTTTACTTTTATGATATTCAGTTGAAAACATGTGCATTTATTCATCAAAGATGATTCGGAGAAGTATGCACTTAACAACAAGCTTTGACAGACTATTTTGATGAGCTGATAGGTCTCACTTTAGCTGAGAGCAACATCAAACTCACACAGCTGACACATAAAAGCCCTCTTATGAAAACCAGCCGCTGAATACAGGCCATGTGCATCTCTTTATGAGCACACAATATTGCTCCAGGGGTCTTAGGCAATTGTATTTCTCAACTCTCTGCTTAAAGCCTCCATGGACATATTCATTGAGAATAGTTTTTGTTACTATAGTGAAGAAAATCCTTTTGGTAAAATGTGAAAGTCCTAGATACAACGTGTCCTGATGCTGTGTCCATGCACACAGCATGTCAAGCCAGTGGACAGACACATGCATCTTTTGCCTAAAAGGGCACATTTCTTGTCAAGTCTCATCAGTGCCTGATGCCAGAGCACTAGACCAATAGATCAGGGTTAATTGAGGATTGTTACACTTTATACAATTGATTTTGGTGAGGACTTTTCTTTCTCGACAAACCTAGCTAAATCGGATCATTAGCTGTGGAGATAAAACCACATCCTACAACTCCTCTGCCCTTGTGTGCTCCACAGTAGTCCAACCTCTAGTTTTCTGCACATATTTTCAGCACATATTTTGAATACTCCTTATATATTTACTTATATATTTTGGAATATAATATAAAATCCAATTTAAAAATATATAAGCAAAGGTTTAAGAGCCCACACTCTCGAGACGGAAATGTCCTGCTTTGATAAATATATGAAAGTGATGTAAGTATATTAGAGTGAAGCTGTAAAAGCCACCACTTACCCGCTGCCTGTTCCTCATCCAGCTTGTGGCACTATGGACCAAGCTAATTTGATAGTCTGTCCACTGTAATTCATTTACAAAAATGAATGTTTGCCAGATGGCTGTTACAAAAACTGATTTGAATTCAGCCCTTCAACATTTTTTCAGTTGTATTACTCTACTTAGTGACAGAGTGCTCTGTAGAGTTGGTTTATTAAAAGGATTAAGAGCTCTCGTAGGGTGGCTTTTCAAAAATGAGCTATTTCAGAGGGGCCAATTCTTTTGTATTTATTATTTCAACAAAATGGCAAAAGAGTTGCCATAAAGCCAAGTCTCAATCACTAGAGTTTGAGTTGTTCTTCTTGTAAAAGGAGGAGTTATCCGTATCATTGTAATCTAATTACTAATTTATTTGATAGAAACCACTCATGTGGCAGAGAGAATCTGAGTGCATATCTGCAGGATCTGAAGCAGCCACACGTAAAATGCCATATAAATGTATTATGAAGCTTGCCTAAATGTTCTATGGGCTTGTTAAATTGATGTAATGGATAATACCATTTGAAACCATCTCTGGCATCACATTTTTCAAAAATCTGGTATCTGCTGGATTGGATAGAAAGCTGGTGGCTTCTTTAATGTGAAGATTTCACAGCCTTCTGTTATGTTCAGGGCAAACTCTTACTATTGCTTTGAGAGACAAAGCAGATGTTTTATTCAGATGGGAGGGAGATAAAACACTTCAGTCTGTGTTCGCTCACCTTTGTGCCGGCGGTGCTGTGCCAGGTTTTGCTCCGATCCCTCTGGCAGCAGATTGTGAAACCAGCGGCGGTGCAAGTGTTGGACCCCGAGGCTGCGTGAGGCAGACACTCGGCCCTGTCTGCCGCCCCCAGCAGACACTGGGACAGTCGCCCACCGTGAACGTGCCCTCACCCCCAACCCCACAGTCCTCAGGGCCACCGGAGGGGCTGCCAGGGACAACGGTGGTGCATTGGTCAGGCTGGAGTGGGCCACTCTCACACTGGAGCGCTGTAGTAAGAGGAGGCTGCCTGCCATCAAGTAGGCTATGCCCAAGCAGAGCAACAGCATGTGGGCACGTTTCAGGAGGCACTGCAGTCTGTGCAGAGCCACCATCCCCACAGTCACTGTCTCCACTCTAAGCACAAGAGCATCTGTAGAAAGGGGATCATAGGGTCTCAATGAATCCACTCATGAAGCTCTCTCCAAAAGTATGTTTTGAAGTTCATGTCTGCACAGCTAAAGATGTGTCACAAAGGATTTCATCTTCCAAACTCGGGTCATTGGGTCCAGAAGATCCATGTTCAGAACCTGCCGGGGCACAAAAACAAATACTTTTAAGACATTTACAGTGGGAGTAGATGCACCGCTCATATTGAATTGGTTTCTGTTTTACATCTTGCATCAATTCTTCACTTTTTTTTTTTTGCAAGCGTCACTTGCTAATTTGTGATTAATCCATAATTGTGCAGTGATATGAATTAAAAAAAAACAATGGAGTTTCATGAAGCTGCAGCTCAATACCAAAATGACCTATTTAAACGTAGGTATTGATTATCTGTTATAATGTAAGTCCCACTCATCTGAGCCAAATTATACAAGGATAATGTAATAAAAGTGTGCAGTGCGCACTTGACCAAGACTCTAACATGTAGAGCATCTCTTCTCTCGTCGTGGAGAACAGGACAGATAGTAAATGAAACGCAATTCGATGTGACTACTCGAATCTAGGTGGTTCTAGGTGGTTATTGCTGACGTGAAAAAACTGATTAAGTCTTGTGTCGCTCCAAATCTTTCTTCACCTCTATGTGTTGAGGGATATGTCTACATCACACGTGAGTCAAGTGCTAACCCGTTTTGGGGCGCCCCATCAAGAATTCTAGTCGCATTTGGGGCTCATTGTGCTGCGCAGCCACACTTCCACCGGCCGCGCTGTTACCGACAGCTCGGGGCTGATGCTCCATGCCTCCTGTAGTCTCTGTGGCCGTCACGCTCCTCTCTGCCCTTCAGATCCACTTTTGGACTTCAGGCCTCTCTTGTCGCTTTTGAACTATACTGGGTTAACTACCGCCCCCAAAAGTAGGGGTGCGGTGCAGGCGATAAATGAAGCAACAGTTTGCACGAACATAGTCTTTGGTTTGGTTGGCTCATCAAATTCGCCTGGGATCTTGCTGGTTTCAAGAGTATAACTAAACACGGGAGGGTGTTCTGAGTCTCATCAACAGTGGACCAGTATCTACTTAAGTGAGTGTGTAAACACTGACAGCATTCGTAAACACGGATTAGCAGCGTGATCTTCCATCTTTAAGGCGCCCTCCGAGCTTCTCTCATGTACAGGAGCCTACTGCCTGTTTCTGATGCCGCTTACCTTCACCGCCGGAGCATTGTGCCCGGGACTGCTCCGTCACGTATCCGCTTGAGGCACGTACACATCGCAGTATTTTCCGCTTGTATTGTCCAGTGAAGATCTCCTCCAGCTCCCCAGCGTTTCCCACAGCCGCTGTTATATAAGCGGGCTCCCTCGCTCCTTTCTCTCCGCCGCTCTCTCAATGCCTGGCACCAATGCTAAGACGCTTGTGTGCTCGCCTCTGTCCGTGCGTGCGTGCGTATGTGTGTGCGTACGTGTGCGTGTGTGTGTGTGCATCTGCCGGTGAGGAGGTGATGGAGGAGGAGCCCTCAATATTTGCATTGGTGATTGGGACGCGACACTCTGCCGCGGTGCTTAAAGTCCAGAGCAGACTTCTATTTGCAGCGCATGTAAAATGGGGATTCACCACCTGAGCAACTGTTTGCCATCCCACTATTATGTCATCTATCGATCAGCCCAATCCATGTCTAATTAACGAAGCAAGAGTATAGAACGAACAAGTTGATTGTTGCCTTTACCATTATGTCTACAATAAAAAAGTGTGCAGCGAGTCTATTTGAACATATTATCTAGCTCCTATCTCTTTGAAACGTTCTACTTTAAATTTGAGTATTCCAGACATTCACTTTCTATTGGCAGAGTCTACAAGAAGGAAATTAAAGCATGCATAATACACGAATAGAAGACGCTCTTAATCATTTCAGCACCATGAACAGCGCCACGCCTGTAGCCCTGCCTGAAAGAGCACAGCAAACAGACCATACAACCATTTTGTTTTCTTTTGACTGATTGACCCTTTGAGGCCTTGCCCTTAATGTATAAAGAAGTGCTTTTGAAACAGCACAGCGATAAGTATGGTCATCATGCAGAGTAAAAGTAATCAATCAATCAATCAATGTTGATTTATATAGCACAGTTCAAACAGTGTAAATTAAAAACACTCTGTCACAATGCATACAATTGACAATACTAATAAGTAAATAGATGATCCACTGCCTGATATTAATCAGCACGGCACGGCACGGTTATAAAGAACCGTTTTCAGCCTGGACTTGAATATAGCTAGTATAGCACTGAGAATGTCTAGCAGAACTAGACAATCTCTAACAGAAAAGAAAAACAAGTTCAAGCAACAAGTTGTTTGAAAAGAAATATATAATATTAGAAAGGGACACTGTCATCATAAATAGTCCCTGTTTGTGATTTTTTTCCCCAGACTAATGAAGAAAAGTAATACAAATTACAATAATAAACATATATTAAAGCCCTCTGAGACGACTGCTGTTGTGATTTAGGGCTACACAATAAATTCTGAGAACAGAATTAACAGATTCACTCTTTGGCTGCACGCAGTTATATGGATTGACAGCGCCTCCTTCACAGAGCAAAACACCTCTTTTCTGATCAGCATTAACATGGCCTGCTCTCTACTTTTCTCCAGTGGATAGATTGTAGTGCCAGAGCCCCCTGTGACTGGTCTGCTCCGCATGAGCAGTTACACACGCACACACACACACACACACACACACACACACACACACACACACAAACACTCAGAGTATATTGGGGAAAGACACGCCAAGTCAAACAGGCTCTGTTTGTGGGCCTATTCCTCTTCACTGGATCCTCATTCCAGCTCAAATAGCTATCGCCTCTCGTACTGGTTGTTTTTCTCCGATGAATACATAGTCTGCCCTCGAGAGTGAAGCCAATTTCTAACCTTATCCAACCATGGGTCAGTTCACCCTTTGAGCATTGTGGTGTTGTAATGCCAGGGCTGTTATAGTGGAGCTCAGATTGCAGGGCTCGTCTTCTCACTGCTGTCTCTATGCGGCACAGCGCTCCAGACGATCCTCCAGCCTGTCCTCTCCCACACATTATTAGCCACCCCCTCTTCTTCAATTAGACTGCATCGCTTACTTATTACCACAGTTTCTGCTTCAATTTACAAGCCTCAAACAGACTTGCTGTGTAGTCTGTTTGACTGTTTGACGTCTTTCCTTATCATGCTGGAGATAGAGATTTTATACTGCTGCTTTTTTTGCTAGAGTTAGATTTTTATTTTATTTTTATTTTAGTGTAGAGTTCTTATTCATTTACCTTGTGCTGTGGGCTCCTCATTTCTACTGACTGTAACTTGTGATGCAACACTGAGATTTCCCCACTGTGGGATGAATAATGGGGATAGGGGGATTTTTTAATCTTAATCTTAATCTACTACAGTACTCTGTTGAACCATTTTTGCAATATTACTCCACTCCAGCATGGACAACAAACATATTATTTAGTCTGAAAATAAAATCTATTGACCTCCATCCCTTGAATAAATAGAGTCACAGTGAATACAAATGTCGGTATGTCCTTTTTAATCATATATTGCTAATTCGCCATGATTCCTCTGTTTGTTCAGTCATATTTATACCTTTGTACATATAGTGACTGAGGAATATCACACAACCTTATTGAGTGGAACTTTCAATCTCATAGTCACATTCGTCTCACATCTGTTATCAGTTGATATTTGACCCCAATTTGTTTTTCTCATGTTGATTATTTTGTGTTCTGCCCACTTCTTCCTCCTCACCATTACAAGGCGTCTGCTTCATCACCTCACACAGAAGACATTTCTTAATAAGACGCTTTACCTTCGTTAGATTAACACATACAGTACGTTCAGCTGACATAGCACATGGGTGTATTTGCTCAAATAATGGATGTAGGCTGACAAGTCGACCACGGAGCACTTTTTTGGTGCCTTTATATCCACAAATGAAGCATAATCAGCCCTAAGTGCACCGCAGTGTGAAAGCATTGCTAAAATCCATATAAAAGTAGGATGATATCATAGTGAGATTAATTCACACTGAATTCCACAGGAAATTATTTGTTTCATATTTTTACTTTTGGCAACTGCATCTTAGCACTTAAACAAAATGATGTGCATTTCCCTCAAATACAAAACATTAGCTGATCGCTATTGGCAAAGACAATGCAGTTCTTTTTTCATTTGTTTTCTTGTGTGCATGTACAGCACCCCACTGCTTGCCAGGTGTAACTACTCCTCCTTGACCTTTATAGGTGTCCAACTATTCTAGTCATCACATGTCCTTGCTCCCTCCTGGCTGAGCTCCCAGAAGGCCCCTGTCTTGCCTCTACAGCTCATGCACAAGGCTCCAGGCTGTCTTGTTTTCATCCACACTAAACAACATGGTTTCATTTCCCTTCTTCATCCCTTCCTCTCCAGATCCTCATTGAGGATTCAAAAGCTCAGCTTGGATCTTTCTGTCCTCGCTGAGGTACACACTGACCTTTCTGACCGAACAGCACTGCATACTCACTTCAATATTTACCTCTTCAGAGGAAACCTTTTGTATGCACCTGTGTTGATTGCCTCCTCTTGCTGTGCAGATGTATTTGTTTGTTTAGACTATTTTTGGTTAAAACCTCGGCTTCACATAACTTTGACTTTTGTTCTACTATTCATGGGGTCTTAATGATAACAGGGAACTCTAGCTTACTCATAGTCGTATGGATTATGTGACATGTTCGAGTATTAGCTAAGTAGACGGTAACCAAAAATCTCTCTCTACTGGCACTCAGACATGGGTGGGAATGGGAAACTTCAGATGTTCGGCTTATTACTGTGTTGTTCTGTTCAAATGCAGTGGAAATACCTCTGCTGTCGAGACACCCACTCATGGAAGCTTCACTGACTCCCAGGCCTCTCAGTAGTACCACTTCCCAGTCACTTCCTCCAGTTCATCCAGGGATATAGTGAGATGTTCTTAGGCTGAGACCGTCTTTAACTGTTTTGACGCCGTGGCGTAGAACAATCATCTCTAGTGGCTATTATTTTGTTTTAAACTTTTTACATTATGATTGTTTTTTGAGCAATGGGTTGGATATTTGTTTATGGTTTGGCTTGGATGGAACCAAAACTGGACCAACAGTAAAGAAGATTGAGTATTGCAGACTTATTTACAGAAGTGTTACTATGTTCTTACTGGGAAGGGTCCGAGGGATGCATGGAAATGAGTCTGCTCCAGCATGTTGCATGGCTTCTTCCAAGAGGAATTGAGCTGACAGATGGTCCTTTATGTGGGGGATCTAGCTCTACCTCAAATTTCTTTTTGACAAACAGCTTGAGTTTCCACACTGAAATATTATAAAAATCTGAGTTCGTGCAAACAGGTTGTTTTCTAATTTGCCACTTGCTTTCCTTCCTCCTACTGTTCTTTTCCACTGTATAAGGGCCTTTAGTGAAGAGAACGATTACAGCTGGGTGGACTCTGAACACAAAGCACAGCACAAGTTCTAGTTTTAGCTGCTTGGCTTCCAACAGACTTGAATATTGAATCAATTATTGACCTGCCAGTCCTCCGCACTGTGCAGGGGAGTAGACATGCTGAATCGAACTATTGCTGAAAACAGGATGAGGCTTTTGTCTCGAGTAACAACTACATGATGTAAAAAGGATGGTGTACTGTTGAGTGAGCAAAATAAAGAAATACAGTATAAACAATCTAGAAAACATTTATTGGATGTGAGTCTGTCTTGTCTTCAGTTATTGATATACCGTTTTTAGACAAATATGCACCTTCAGTACTCTGTAGAAGTGAATGTGTTACTACTGCTGCTACCACACATAAAGATTTTGATTTCATTTCATATAGAATGCAATGTATTTTCAGTTTGGATTGTTTGTGAAATTCAAACTTAAATGAGAAAGACTGATTACTTCTTAATGGTACATCCGCTGAAAGCAGCTCAACATCAGTCTTGAGATATCTGTACAATAATAAATGAGATGACATTCATTCATTATAAGAGGATCCTGCTTTTTATATTAAAATGGCTGCATGTCAAAAAGATGCTTGTTTGAAAATACATTTCCACTCCAGGCACTTCGGTACAGATTGCACTTCGGTTTGATCAGAGCAAAAAATAGTTTTGCTTAATTGACAAAAAACCCTGGTTGTTTTTAATTAGTTTTCTACTTTTGCTTCGCTTGAAATAATTTCATTTGTTTGGCTGATTTATATGTTAGTTTTCTTCTGTGGTGCTTCAAAAACGTGAACAGGCTATTATTGTAAGCACATTTTTGGAAAAGATAGCAAATAGCTCGCTGCATGACATCTTTCTCTTTAGATCCGGATTTACTCTGATGAAAAGATCTATACTTAGTTTCCCATTAAAAATGCACAGTGCTTTAAGACTTGAGGGGCTCAGTACACAACACTCAGTAATACTACGTGATTAATATTTCAAAATATACATGTACTAGGTTTTCCTCTTTTCAAAGCCTATACATACTCTATTTG